TTTAGTTCATGTACTTTAAGTTTTGGTTCATTTTGGTTATTGTATTTTCAAAATGTTCATCTTGGTCACTGTGCTTTCAACTTTGGTTTATTTTAATCTACATCTATTTTCAAAATATTTTTCTTTTTATCTATGTACTTTTTATCTATATTTAAAATGAAATTAAAAATAGATGATGAAAATAGTATTTTAATTATATTTATATTATGATTGATGCATATAAATTCCAGGTTTCAGACATATTTGGATTTTATTGGACTTCCCATGTTCCATACTCTTCCCTCTGTCTCACGTTTCAAGACAAAACGCGGCCTCACGCTCTGCTTTTTTTCCCCCACTTGTCTTTTTTTTTTTTCCTCATCTTCTTTCTTTCTTTTAACCAATTTATAAACTTTTTTTGAATTTTTTCGTTTTACTATTAACTTTATTTTATGTTAGTTTATAGACTTTTTAAAAGCTAATCATTTAATTTGGAACTTTATTGTTATTTTACGATTCATATGGATATGGATAATATAACTTTTGAATATGTGTACTATTAATACGGATATATATTGGAGCTTTATAAATTCGTAACTGTATTGAAATAAGTGACAAAATAATAGTAAAATTAAAAAAGAGTTACTTTAGGGGAAAAAAAGGGGTAAAATAGATTAAAATAGCCATTTTAATAGATTAAGGATGAGACGATGATTTTGAAAAAATCCAAATGCTAAAATAGACCTTATAAAATTTTAAGGGCAAAGTGGATTTTGAACCCAAATTTGAATAAGTGAGTGTCTTTTAACTAATTAAATTGAGCTAATATAATCATAGCTTGAATGTATAAATACATCTGCGTTTTTCTTAAAGTAGAAGATTCGTCAAATTTTCACACCGTACATTTTTTTTAATCATACTCCACATTTATTGTATTGAAGAAAAAATACTCGTCAAATTGAAAGATCAAGGATGTTTTTAAGAGTGATGGTAGAATTAGTGATTTTGAGAAAGAGGATTTAAGGATAATTGATTTTCCAAACTCACCATTCAAGTACGTACCTTAAAAATCAATTTAAAGTGATTTTAAGTTTTCCTAAAATTAATTTTGTAATTTGTCAAAGATGATCAATAGAAAGTGAGGTGATTTTGACAATGGCAAAAGTGATTTTGGTCCTGCCAAAATCACTCCCAAACACACCTCAAATAATTATAGCTTATTTATTAAAACAAAAGACATGTGGTCGATCAAATCGACGTATTGCACTTACGATATTGAATAAAATATATTTTAATGTCGAATTATCACTTTGTCACTATTTTAGAGTCCAATTTTGATAGCTTTCTTAATATCTATTTTGTTACTTACATGTAATTATGTTGAGTTATACTCGAGTTATACTTAAATTAGTCTGGGTTGTACCATGTGTTTTATCTATTGAGTTATATCCGAATTAATTTGTTACCAAATATTTGTTTGCCTATTCAATACGTATGAGTTGAATACACGTTGATCGTATTACACATTAGTACATATATTTGAAGTCCCATTCAACTTTTTTTTTGGGCACATTTCCAACTCCTTAATGTGTTCCGTCAAAAAAAAATAATAAATAAATAAATAAATATATATATTTATAATAAAACTTGCTAACGTGAAAGTTTTAATTTAAAAATAAAAGCGTCCTTATTTTTCTATTTTTGAAATAAAAATGTTTACAAAAATTACGAGGTGGGATAAAAGTATTTTAGTATTTTACGTGAATGAAACTATTTTTTGAATAATACAGATATATATCAACAGAGATATGTCTGATATTTTAATTGCTTAAAAATAATGGGGAATGATAATTTTTAAAATTTAAATACTATTTTAGTATCTCAGTTTTATTGTGATCTTTGTATTTTTATAAAAATTTCATTTGGTCTTTGTACTCTCAAACCGTCTGTTTTGATCCCAAATTTTTAAAAATTGTCAATTTAGTCCATATTTACAAAATTTTAACACAAATTTTATACCCAATGAAAACCCATTAATACAAATTAATTTTTACATTTCAAAAAATTTAGTGAATAAAGTATCAGGCTAAAGATTATGATGTAAAGGAAAAAAGATAAAAATAAAAACGAAGAGACTAAAATGGTCACTTTTAAAAGTACACTGATAAAAGTGGATATTTTGAAAATAAATAGATTAAAATAAACACAAATTAAAAATAGACTAAAATAAACATTTTCAAAATACAATCGAAGTCAAAAACTTTAACTGAAAAGAACAAAAGAAAGTGGATGAGAAAGGAAAAAGAAAATGCATGGCCAAAGGAGTGGGGAGGTATGGGAAAGGCTTTGCCTTTAGCCCTTCTTATTGTTAAATTATTTAAAAAAAAATATTTGACCACTAACAAAATTTTTTTACCATTAAAATTGTGAACTGGAGTCTATGTTTTACCCAAGGGGTAAAAATTATATTAATGTCACAAGCTAGGACATGAATTTATAAACTATGATTGCTTGGTTGTAAAAGGCTTGAAAATCTTACCCCGTCAAACTATTGGACGGGCAGATTTCAGTGGTCCATCAAGATATATTACAACTTCAACCAATTGGAGTTACTGAGAAAAAATCACTCTTACTTCTCAAATTTATCTTCTTGCTTTTATAGATTACAACCAAGCTTATAAATATTCATGTAGATTCAAAACTCGATGGTTAATCAATTTTATGAAAATATCGATGGTTTCAAAAGTTAAAAAATTATTTGAATGAATAAATAAGTATTCTATCCTTTTGAAATAAATTTAAAATTCTTATTAATAGTAAGGGTATGATAATGAATATTTTGTTGATATTTTTTAATATTTTATTGATGTACCTTTTACGATATGATGGAAATATCAATTTACTTTCTATGTCGATGTCGAATGTGTGGAATTATGAAAATATAGACGTGTTGATGAAAATTTAACACTGATCACACAAGTGTAGAAACTAAACACAAAACGAACGATAATATTGACAATTACTGTTGAGCTAAGTTCATATTTTGTATTACATGCGAGTTTTATTAATAATCATTTTTTTATGGTCCCTTTTTTGATGACATATTGCTAAAATTTAGGAACTTTTATGCATCTGTTTTATAATATTTTAAGTTTATTTTTCATCAACTACCCACACCAACCAAATTCTAAGGAGTTCCGAATTATATATGTCGATTCCATAAGATAATAATTCGTATATTTTAATAATCTATCTTTCATAATTATACCCATGTCCAACTGTACGTGTGGCTGAGATATTCCAACTTTCAATCATTTAATTAAGTTGCATACCTTAATAACCTAATTGAACCAAAAGTCTAATTATCTCATTGATTTTAGCAGTACACATATATAAAAGGAGGAGTAATTTTGTAATTTTAAAAACATAACAAATTGTAATTTTCTCATATATATTATTCAAAACTTTTAACAGCGAATTGAAAATTTTTGGTTACTTTTAGCGATGAGGTGTAATTTTTGTCACTAAAAGTACTCAAAGCGACACACATTTAATTCGTCTCGAAAATTTTAACTAAAAAACCTCATAATAGACCAAGTTTTTGGCGATGAATATAATTTCATTGTCGTAGATTATTTATGACAACGTTACACACATTTCATCGCCAAAAGTACTTTTTTGCGACGAAATAATTTCATACTCAAATGTGGTTGCCAAAACAAACAATTATTGTAGTGATTTTAGTGGTACAAGGAAGAGTAATTTGTAGTGAAATTGAAACTGTGGTTTCTATTAATTGGACTCGTTGTTTGGGTTCGAACAATACCATAACGACCAGCATAAGATTTGAACGCTAGACTTCATGATAGGTGGTACCACAGGACCCAAGGCATTTACCACTGCGCCATCCCAACCGTCCTCGAATTCAAAGATGCGATGGCGGGTAATTTGGATTTCGGGTAATTGGGGGCGTGTGGTGTAGAAAGAGGGAGAAAAGGGTAAATGTGGATGTGTTTCCTTAGGCATCCAGATATATTTTTGATCATGAGGTACAGTAAGGAGAGGGGTTTGAAATATCATTTGAGAAGAAGGAGAAGGAGAAGGAGAAGAAGATAGGGTTTTTTGGGTGGTTTTTTGTTTTTGTTGTGAATTGTGTAGCAGAATTCCACTCCACTGATCCATTCAAAATATTATTTTTTTGGTGGTTTGTCTTTCTTTTTTCTTTTCAAGTTTTTGTTTGTTTCTTTGTCCTGAAAGGCACGTGAATGTCTCATTAATTACGCCTTAGCCCCACATCCTCTCCCCTCCCCTTTTATAAGTTTTTTCACCATCACATCTCTTCCTTCGGGCCTTTTGCCTTCTCCAAAACTTCTCTCTCTCTCTCTCACAGCTCTCATGGCTCCACCTCGATCATGCCACCCACTCCGATGATCATTCTCACCCGCTCAACCTCAGACAAGACCAGGTATTGCGTCTTGTTTTGCTTAATATGTAGGGGCGGAGTCAAGAAGGAAAAGAGAGAGGCAGGACGAGAAGGGAAGACAATTATTTGTCTCTCTTTAGTCTTTGTTTCTCGGATTTGTGATATTGTTGAAATCTTTGTTCTATATATGAAAAGTTAAAATCACTTGTATGTGTATTGTCTGTTTGAGCGTTTTATTGAATCAAGATGACTAAAAAATAATCGAAATTTTGATCGTTGTTGTGTGTGATCTTTTAAGAAAATTTCTAGCTCTACCCCTATTTATATCATCCGGGGTTTAATCATTTTTCAACGATCTTCCCTTCGGTGGAATGAAGATTATTGTTGAAAAATGAACTAAAACTACGATTGTCATGTGATCTTTTAGAAAATTTCTGGTTCCGCGGCTATTTATACTATTTAGTTTTCACTTTAGAAA